GGAAAAAGAGGACAACTGGAGACTGGAGTGGTAAACACTGTAGTTTTGTAAAATATGTGTAGTTTTTTTTTTTTTTTTAAAATTATTGTGTTTACCTTTTTTTCCCCCTAAATCTTTGCTGTATTCTTAACATCAGCTTTTCCGTTCTATTGGCTTTTTATGCTCCACCCTTTTTTTTTGTTCATAATTTAGAGTTCTTTTAAGTCTGCTATTAATATTCCAGTGATTTGCTCTGCTATGTAATATGCTTTTTTTTCTTAAACTAAGCCAGGTGGTTTGGTGAAAAGTTGGTTTAAATTTAGGCGTTTACATGCAAAGAATTTTTTTGTGCTTGGTCTAAAGTATATATGGAGTTATTACTTCATTTTGTGGTTTATTTCCTTAGCACATATGCTGCAAAATTAGCTGCATTTGCTTTGCAGAGGCCCACTTTACATTGGGTTCTATATAGAGGAAACTAAATAACACCTGTATGCATCATCTAATATGGTCCTTATTCCATATACTTTTCCAAAGCACTTTATTATTCATTAACCAATTTAACATGAGTCGATAGTTATAATTAGCGTGGGATTGGTTCGTAGGCCAATTTGCTAAAGTTGCTAATGATATGTCTGCAAATTTAACTTCATTTTTTGAGATGCCATAAAGCATGAAAATACACATGGACATAGTTGGAGTATTGTTTTTCCTAAAATGGTTTGTATAAAAAAGTCAAGCCTGAAGATCATGATAATTAATAATGCTATATGTGTCATATTATGCATGATAAGCATAATTTTCAGATATAATAGTTGATATCTATGAATTTGCAGCATGATTATGGAACTGATTATATGGAGAGCAATGGAGGTATCTAACGTTCCAAAAATATTTGTTTGTTTGAAATATTGTTACTTATTTGTGTTTTCTAGAACTTGAACTCACCTTAAGTATTGCTCACTTGCTGGATGCAGCCTTGCAGATTCTCACTCAGATTGGTTTTCATTCTGAAGGATCTCAAGCAAATGTGTATACTGGTGGTTTGCCTCCCTGGTTAGAAATGTGCGATGAAAGTGAGAAAAATCTTGTTAATTTTGGAGCAAATATGAATAACCGTGCTCCTTTAGCTCAAAAAGGGAAGTCAAAAAAGTTAAATCCTAAACGTGTTGGCGCTGCATGGGCTGAGAAGAGAAGGATTGAACTTGAGATGGAGAAAAAAGGGGAGATTGTCATGGACAGTGTTGATGACAATTGGCTTCCCAATTTTGGTAGAGTTTGGCAGGCAGGCACTCGCAAGGAATCTAGAAAAGAATTCGAGAGGGAAAATCATAAATTGTTCAAAGATGGCTTGCATTCAGAAGCATCATTCAAGCTACAACCATATATAAGTAAACGCATGGTAATTTAGCATCCAAAAAAAATTGCTCTATTATCTGTTATCTAAATAGCATCAATCAATTTGGCTATTTACATGAATTTTGTTGTTTTTCTTCAAATATGAGATAGTTGCTATTATTTGTAATTTGTATTTCCGGGCAATTACCCAAGATTATACATAAGAGGGTTCCATTTTGTAATTTTTTTTAATTTGAAATTTCTCACATCCATTTGAGTTCATACAACAATTATTCATTCATGCAAGGAAAAAAAAAATTAGCTATTTAAAAATTTATAAATTTATTATATTTGAGGAAGATCATTTTCTTATGTCAAATGTTATGACATGATAGCAAATATTTGTTGTCTTAAGTACATCTTTATTGAAAATAAGTTGTTTTATTTTCATCCATAGTATGATATTGCCTTAATTCATTTGCATTTCTTCAGCACGAAATATTTTTTTTGTACTTAATTAGTATTATTTGATGTAACAACATTTAGTTTTTGTGTGTCTAGATGGATGGTGAACCAGATTTTTGTTGAACATTGTTGATAACTTCAAAGTTTTCCCTAAAACGATTCTCAAGTATATACCCAAACTCATTGAACATCACATGGTTGATTTATTCGGGCAGAGATTAATTCCTAGAACAAATTTGTAGGTACAACACAAATTTATAGTACACATGATTCCTTCAAAAGATTTAATTTCACAAGCCAGACCAATCCCAAGTTTTATGTAGGGACATTTGTCTAGGTCTCTCTACCAAAATATACCACACAAAGAAATATTCCGTGTAAAGGAAATATCAACATATATCAACATAAAATAAAGACAGGAGGCACGATTAATGCAATGTGTTCTATGCATAGAAAATGTTTGTTGAAGGAAAATTTGCTAACTAACCCACGGAAATAACTGAAGTGATTGTTTGTTGTGGTGTACGTACATTTTTTGACAAAACACACGAAGATAGCAAAGGATTTATGAACCACTTTAGTAGAAAATGTTTTAAACGAATGAAACCTTCAAAAATACCGTGTTATTCAGTTAATACCAAAATGAAGTTGTATTACGTTGTACCTTTTTTATCCACTTTGAACATGCTATATACATTTGGGTATAACATATTTTACATTTATTACATGACTGTCTATTATATAAATGGTCAATCATATAATTTAAGCAATCAAGCATACCACACAATTTTTCTTATTTTGCTTTAAATTCATATTAGGATTTGTGGGTTGAATTGTAGATAAACAAAATCTGATGGCTCACCCCTTTTTGTGGGTATTTTTGAACGTGTGGTCCAAGTATTACTATCATTCCTTTATGTTAGGTAGAGAGAAAGCGCCTCATTGGAGAGGGTTAGAAGTTAAGAGAAAGCCACAAAAGACAAGGGAGAAAAGAGGAGAAAGGAGCCAAGGAAGTTCAAGGAGCCTCCAAGAGTGAAGATGATGAGGAAAAACCGCTATCTCGTTCATTCCTCAATTGTCTTATCTGAAACTTAAGGTTAACATTGACCTCGGTCCTCCTTGCAGTTGTTGATCTTTGGGTCATAATTAGGGATGTTACATCATTGTCAAACTACAAGTTCATCGCTGTAGCGGATGATATAAAACCTAGTCAAATAAAGAGAATATGGTTAGAAAATAAAATTTAACCTGTACTAAGAAATAAATAATTCATTCTAATGAGACATCTTTGAGCAAGCATAGAGCCATTACTAAACAACGAATTGCCTTCATAAAACATTCATTCATATCACAAGATTTGGTATAAAGCACTAGTTTTCCCACCAAAAAAAAAAAAAACATAGGGATAAGGATTCTCACATTTTATCACCTCTTTCCATCGTACTACCCACATTATTAGAATCATAATTGCTTTTACAATACCTTAGTTATTAGTATGGCTTAAAATTGTGCAATTCGGTATCGGGTCATTTTCTTTTTGTGAGGCAAGGTGTACTAAGCCTTAAGATATTTTCAGGTATAAGCCTTGAGATATTTTGAGTTATAAGCCTTGAGATAAAATCTAACATACACCATAAATAAATAATTCATTCTAATTAGACTTCTTCAAGAAAACCCAGAGCAACCATAAAATGGAAAATATTCTTCATAAATTATCCATTCATATCATAAGATTTGGTACAAGAATACTAGCGTTATGCTTAAAACAAGTGGACAAACAAAAGATTCTTACATGTGATCATATAGACCTTATATTTGTGTTTACGTGTATTAACATTCTTCCAAGATACATGTTCATATCCATACAAATTTCCATCACACCAAGATCATTAGAATCATGAGAGGAATGGAAATACCTTAGTCATAAGCAAGCTTTGAAATTGTGATTCAAGATTAAATCATTAAATCAATAAACAATATGAAAAATAAAGCATTTAAAAATCATTTTCCTTAGGACTCAATTTTAAGTAACATCATAAAATTGAGCTCAATTTTCTCCCAACAGTAATTGAGCATAATCCGAATGTATCTCAGTACCCATAAAAATATATGTAAACATAATAATAAGCATGAAGTTAAAGATAAATAAGTTAACATTAACAAGAATTTTAAAATAACAAGTAAATATCATCTTAAATAAATTGGTTACGACTTGGGATTTGAATTCAAAAATTTCTCACACTTCCAACACTTGGGGTTTGGTTACAATCATCATCGGAGATTGATTTTTTTCCACCCTTATGCATACACCTCATTAAGCTTTGCATGTGCTTTGACCTGAGGCACACCTCAAATTATGTAATTTTAAGCAACAATCATAAGCTTCTTTAATTATATTAGAAAATATCATGTGATGGTAGGCATAGGCATATAATTGATAAGGTAACACAAAGTATTAGCGGGCAATCAATAATAAAGAGAATCAATATGCATGTGACATGTAAATCAATATGGTAGGCATATGCATGAACAACACCAATCATATTCATTTTTGCACATCTTAAATCATGTAAAATCAATTATAATGCAAAATGAATGAATCCTCTCACACACATTCTGTCAATAATCACTTTCATATGCTTAATGAAATCATACAACCATGTAATCTTGCATTAGAACATTATCACTCACGGTATAAAAATAAAAAGCTATTCTACAAAATTAAGTGAAGATCCTCATTAAAGCTTAAATCAAGATTACCTTCTTTTTGAATGTTTACCACTCTTCTCGACTCTTATACAAACTCTTAATTAGCCTCCAAGCAAGCTAAGCTAGCCATTCTCACTGCTTAAGCATTGGACATAGATCCCTATCACTCATGAACTAACTTCTATTAAGAGAGATCATATGGCAAGCTACAAGCGTTTATCTTTTTTTTTAATTATTATTTAAATCACACATTTATATGTCGTGTCAGAGTCGTGTTCTACGCTTGTCAGATTCGTGTCCATGTTCGATACGTAGAGAGGCTCATCAATGCTTGCTCTGATTAACTTCGAGATCAATTCAAGTGGCAGACATGCTTGAGGGAGGAGCTAGAAACGTTGTGAGAAAACCACGCGAAGATCCAAGCTGCTATCTCTAGTTCCAGCGAAGCAGTGATCTCAGGTCAAAACCCAACACTAATAACTGGATATGGCAACTTAGAGATGCGATCGATGAGGCGGATGATTTGCTCGATGAGTTTGGGTACATGAATCTTAAACATGTGACCACACTAAAGATGGAGGAAACCAAAAAATATTCTGCCACCATGAACTTCTTGTTTAAAACTGTTGGTAAACTTTGCAAACTTGGCGAATGGACAATTTGAATTGATCCCAATTTAAAGTGGCTGGAGGAGGCTGTGTAGAAACTCGATAAAGTTTCAGCTGAGGTTGGTACTTTCCTTCATCCTGTAGAAAATGTGAAGCAATGTGCTAGACCCATCAAATGGCGGAGCTCAGTGGTACGGATTGGGCATTTCGAGGAGGTAGTAGTGGACGAAGAGGCTGATCTCCTATGTGATTTGAAGGTCATGACAGAGGAGAGGTGATAGTTTTGGAGAATGGTGCCTTTTATGGTGCTCTCGATGTGGAGGATGACACAATTTGCATGGCCACTTTCCACGAGTGATTACATCGGAGAAATATAGGTGATATCGAGATCAGGTTAATTGCTCGCAAAACATGTTTTAAAAATAGTGAAAACACGTTTTCCTGTTTTTAAAAACAATATAGAAACTTTTTAAAAACAAATTAAGTTAAATACAAAAAAAAAGTAAACAAATGTGGTTTTTTTTTATTAAAAGAAAAATAAAAAACATTAAATGAAAAAATGGTTCAAACAGACTCTAAGCAAATAATTTTTTTATAAGTGCAGATTTAGGTTTAATATTTTTTAGGATAAATGTACCCCTAATATGTTTTGAGATTGACATAGAAAATTTCAACTAATATATATTTTATTTTCAATTATGTTGTCAGGTGATTATGATGAAGGGATATTACATTTTTTTTTCTTTATTGAAAACTGATTATTATTATGATATAGTTTTTATTTTATATTCTTAATTAGTATCTTGTATTTAATTTTATTCATTGATAAATGATTATAAATTATTAATTTAGTTAGTTATCTTTAAGGTAAATATAATTTATGATATTTTTTAATAATTAATCATATTTATTTGGGCCTACTAGATTATAACAACTATCCCCACACCATTTTTAATTATTCTTTGATTTTATTCTATAATTATGTATTTCCTCTTTTGGTTTATTCTGTTTTAATTTCTTTCCTAGTTATTTTATTCTGTTTTTTATTACTTTTCATTATCATGTCGATTGTAATTGGGTTTAAATATCCCTCCCATCAATGAAATTATGCTGATTTATTCTAAATCTCAACATAGTATCAGAGCATAAACCTAATGTCAGTAGCCCCGACGTCCGATTCCAGCAGCTGCTGCTTCCACCTCCTCCTTCTAGCCGATAGTCTTCTCTGTTGGATTCAACGAACTGCAGGCCTTCCATAAGGTTTTCTCCTGTCTCTGTCCGCAGGTTTCTCCCAATTATGCTGCAAAAGATCAGCGTCTTTCTACAAAATTCTACCATTCTTCCTCCAGGGAACAGAAGATCTGCCGCTCTTTTTACAAGGTCTAGCAAACAGAAGATCTGCTACCAAATTTCTATTCACCAGAGGACTTCTACTTCTTGGATAGGATTCTGCCGTTCTTCCTCCGGTGAACAGAAGATCTTGTTGATGTTATGCTGAAAGTATCTTTGGGTTGTCCTACCGGCAATTTTTGCTGTTGTATTCGTTTGTCATGATTCTTCCAAAATTAATCAATTACATAGAACTACTATAACGTATCGGTTGGCTCTGTCGGAATTATGGTTGATTCTTTCAATAAATCACTCTCAAAAGACTTTTTGGATTCCACTGGAGGATCGACTCCAACCTCTGCTCCCTTGCAAACCGTAGGATTAGAAGTCAACATGAATTTCTTGATCACAACTCATAGGTTGAACGATAGTAACTTCCTCCAATAGTCCCAAGCAGTGTATTTGTTCATCAAATGACACAGAAAGGTCTGTCAGCTCACATTATGATTTGCGAGCCTCCAAATACTGACCCATCATATGGGGTTTGGGAAGTGGTGAACTCTATGGCCATGTCATGGTTGATCAACTCCATTGAGACTTCAATTGACCGCTCGTACATGTTCCTTCCATCTGCTAGTGCTCATGAGGCAGCTGTCCGTGATATATACTCAGATGTAGGAAATTCAGATCAACTCTATGAGGTATGTAATAAAATCCGGAATTCAAAACAAGGGTCAAGGACAGTGACCCAATACTATAATGAACTAGTTACTTTATGGATGGAATTCGATCTGTACTACGACTACACCTGAGATTCTTCTGCCGACTTATCCCCCATCCAGAAGATTGTAGAAAATGATCGTATTTTCCAATTCCTTGCTGGTCTTAACAAAAACCTTAACGAAGTTTGGGGCCATATTCTTTGTTGGGATTTTTTTTCTTCCGCTCGAGCTGCTTTTATCGAGATTCGTCGGGAAGAAAGTAGTAGACTTGATATGCTCAACACTTTCACACCTTTAGCTGAGTTGTCCCCCTTAATCTTAAATAGCGCTCAGCCATAGCAGACTGATAATCCTACTTGTGATTACTACTGTCACAAACCCAATCACACTCTGGACAAGTGTTGAAAGCTTCACTGTAAGCCGACATACAAACCTTTAGCCAAATATTCTGCTGCCAATGGACTCACGGCAACGGTTGAACAAGACACGACTCAACCGACTCCTACCCGGAACATGCTAGATTTCTCTGTTCCTAAAACACTAGAGGGAGCAATTAATCAAGTTTCTTGGAGCCAGTCAAATCTCTGTGGGTCTATTGACCTCCCATGTCTGATATGGTACTCTTCCTATGACTCTCATAGTTTATTCCTCCTTTAGTCCATTAATTATTGATTTTGATGCCACAGATCACATGACTGACTACTCGCAAACTTTCTCGACTTAGTACTCGTGCTGTAGAAAAAAAAATCTGTTAGAATTGCCGATGGATCCTATTGCCATATTGCTGGTAAATTGTTGATTGTACGGACGACCAATCTAACTCTAGAATCTATTTTACATGTTCCCCGATTGTAATGTAACTTATTATCGGTCAGCAAGTTGACAAGTGATATCGTTTGTGTGGTTAATTTCTCTTATGATCATTGTGTTTTTAGGATCTTCGTTCAGGGAGGATGATTGAAACTACTAAGAAGATAGTTGAACTCTACTATTTTCAAGAGGACAACATGGAGAATGAAGAGACCGCTTAAAAGTTGTTACATATCTCGACTCATTAAATGTTCCATTATGTTATTACATTGTCGTTTGGTTAATTCTAGTTTTTAATATATGAAAAATTTGTATCCTCTAACATTTTCTAATAAAAATCTCTCCAGTTTCAATTGTGAGACATGTCAGTTAGTCAAACATGACCGAGTCCATTGCCCACCTCACACTTACATACCTTTTGCTCCTTTCTCCCTCATTCATAATGCCATATGAGGACCTTCTCGCACTTCCAACTACAATAAATGGTGGTTCTCAACCTTAATGAATGACCACACTGGAATGACTTGGGTCTACATGTTAAAAGACAAATCAAAAATCACTGTGATCTTTCAAAACTTCTATACTATTGTTTTAATTCAATTCAAAACTTATATTCAGGTTCTTCGGATCGATAATGTTCGTGAGTTTTTTAACTCTATTTTGAGTGAATTCTTGGCAAGTAAAGGTATCTTCCACCATAGTTGCTGCACGAACACTCAACAAAATGAAGTAACCGAGAGAAAAAATCACCTTGACGTTGCTCACTTCATTATGTTTCAATCCAATTTCCCGAAACATTTTTTGAATGATGCGATTTTAACCACCATCTATCTCATAATTAGAGTCCCCTCCAAAATTGACAAGTTTCACACCCCTCTAGCCGTCTTGATGTCATGATTTCCTGTCAATCTAGTCTTCTCCACTTTAGATTACAAAATTTTTGGATGCACTGCCTTTATTCGGAACACTGCCCCTACTTGGAGTAAACTTGATCTTAGATCCATAAAATGTATCTTCCTTAGTTACTCCGCAACTCAAAAGGGGTATCGATGCCTTGATCCGACCACAAGAAAAATCTATGTGAGTATTGATGTCTCATTCTTTGAAAATTTAGGGAGCTTAAGTTCCCCGACAGTCCCATATCCTACTCCTATGGATAATCCCCCCATTGTTCTTACCATTAAGGAGTACCGTTGAGTGCACCATCTCCTCCTCACACTGTCCGTGCCTACACTTGGCGCACCCGCTTCAATGCTACAACTCAGGAGCCTGCTACCTCTTTACAGGACATTGACTCTACTTCAGGTGACATCCTCAGCACAACTCCTCTGAATGAGGAGGTGAGTTTCTAAGTAAGGTATGCAATCAGACATGCTTCCTCTATTCTATGACAAAATATGTGTCTTTCCACAATTTATCGCCGACCTACAGAGCATTTGCTATTGCTCTGATGGACTATCAGATCCTTGCTACCATTGAGGTTGCTCTTGATGATCCAGCTTGGAAAACGACAATAATGGAGGAGATGAATGTTCTTCAGTGGAATCATACGTGGGACGTCGCAGACCTTTCTCAGGGTAAGAAAACTGTAGGGTGCCGATGGATTTTTAGCACTGTCCGATGGATTTTTAACTCCAAGTTTAACTCTGATAGATCCTTTGAACGCAACAAGACAAGATTGGTCGCTAAAGGATACTCATGGAGTTAAATATGAGGAGACTTTTGCTCCAGTGGCTAAGTTAAACATTGTTCGGGTCCTGTTGTCACTTGAAGTGAATATGGATAGACCTTTATTCCAATTATATGTCAAGAATGCATTCTTGAATGGTGAGCTGGTAGAAGAGTGGTTCATATCTCTCCCTCCTGGTTTTGATTCAATTGTCTCTAGAGGACAAGTGTGCAGGCTACGAATGTCCCTTTATGAGCTAAAGCAGCCCTCAAGAGATTAGTTTGACAGGTTCACAAAGGTGGTCAGAGGCCATGGTTTTACTCAGGCTTAATCGGAACATACCCTCTTCTTCTGGCACTCCTCCAATGGTCAGGTAGTTATCCTTATTGTTTATATTGACGATACTGCTCCTACAGGTAACGATCTTCATCCATTGGAATCTTTAAAATACATTCTTGCTTTGTCATTCGAGATGAAGCATTTGGGATCTCTCCGACACTTCTTAGGCATGGAAGTGGCTCGGTTCTCTCGGGGAATTTGTCTATCTCAGCGCAATATGTAATTGACTTCATGATAGAGAACCACCTTCTACTGTGCAAACATGTTGTTGTTGTTATGTATCCTAATAAAAATTTATCTGACATTCCCAACGTTGTACCTGTCAACAAAAGTCATTACCAATGCATTTTGGGAAAACTAATCTACCTGGCTCATACTTGCCCCAACTCATGTCACGCAGTTGGAATAATGAGTTAATTCATGCATGACCCCTACGGGCACGACCTCCAAGATGTACACTGAATTCTCCACCACTAAAAGGTACATAGGGTTCAAATTTGTTTTTTTCCCGCCACACCTCTCGGTCTATTATTGATTATACAGATGCTGATTGGGTCAGATCAATTCATGATCAACATCCGCCTTGGGGTAGTGTTGAAGCTGAATTCTGATCCATGTCCTTATGAATTTGTGAAGCTCCCTGACTACGCATCATGCTCTGTGAACTTCGTATGCCAAGCTCTGTCCCGCCGTGACTATTTTGTGATAATAAGACTGCAATCAACATTGCTTACAACCCAATCTATCATGATTGTTCTAAACATGTGGTGATCGACAAACTCTTCATCAAGAAAGAAATTGAGACCCAGGAGATTTGCGTTCCGTCCTCTAGTGGTGAACTAACGGCCATCCTCACAAGAATTTGTCTCGCTCTTTGTTCGATGACTTCAAGTTCAAGTTGAACATGACTGACATCTATGCTTCAACTTGAGGGAGACTATCAGATTACAATGACTATATTATTACTTATTATTTGATTTTATTCCTTAATTATGTATTTCTTCTTTTGTTTTATTCTAATTTAATTTCTTCCCTAGTTATTTTATTCTGTTTTTATTACTTTTCATTAATATGCCTATTGTAATTAGGTTTAAATGCTAATGCCCCCCCTCCCCTCCTATTAATGAAATTATGCTGGTCTATTTCAAATCTCAAGAGAGCCATTTAACCAATTTTTGTTATTCTCCATTGTTTTAATCAAAGAAGTTCATTAATCACATCATTTTGGAAAGCAAGGTTAACAACAATTTTGTCTGGTAGCTAATTGCTTTGTTTTTTTTTTCTTTTCGCAGGATGTTCACTTGAAACAAGCTCATTGGGATTCTTCATTTGGTTTCTAATCAATGAGTTGTGCATTCGAGCACAAAATTACCTTCACATTACATCATAA